TAATGGTTTATATTTTATGTCAATAAACATTCACTGCAAATTGCATCATAAACATGTCACGTGGCAAAACACTCTAAATCAGGTTTTGCTCATCAGTTCAAGATGTATCGTCGTCATCATTCTCAATACTTGACACATGTCCATGCATAACCATTATGATTATGCCTATGGACATGTTAGGTTAATGCAGTGAACAAAAATATTTCCGTTTAAAGGGGAGAGAACTCCTGAGGAATCCCCAGCAGCCCATCCGTACACATTGACAGGTTGTTTTGCTTCGGCTGCTGCTTTAGACATATTGTCCCTAGCTCCAATTTTCCAAAGATATCAAGTTGTTTTGGATTTGAGATGATGACGTGCATATTTTTATAGCATTAGATTTTGTGAGGTTAGCAATGACGCTCACATGGAATGGAAGTCGCGGCTGTCGTTTCCCCACCTAATTTTCGAAACCTTTCATATGTTAGGACCAGTATGAAAGATACGTCTTCAATGAAATCAAATTATTTTTTGAGCTAAGAACTAGTACAAAGATTAGGTCAAAATGGACTCTTTAAACAAACCGTCGGCAATAATTGGCCAAATTCTGATACAAATGTTTCAGTTTTTTTATAACAAGTGCAACATTGTTAAAAGAAGGTGAGATGGTTTATAGTTGGCTTGTAAGTTTCATTAGACGTGGGTTAGGCCAATTTATGAGTGCAGTGAGCCTATTCATTTGCACTCAATTTTATTTTAGAATAGTCTATCGCTTGTATTTAAAATAAAATAAAAACCTCTTTAGTTTAATGCAAATTGCTACTAGGTCCAGATGCTTCTTCAATTTGGTTTGTTTCATTTGTCAAAAGCAGCCCATAGGGAAGATGCCAGTCCAAGACGCTGCGTTTTGCGTGCTGTTTTATTTTTTATAGAGGAGCGACTGACTGACATTACGGTAGCCGGATGTCGAATTAAGTCGCAAAGTGCCACGGAACCTGAACAGAGGCTAGGTGAGGATCCTAATTTAAAGCTACTACTACCACAATTAACTAATTTTCCGTTTGGTTCCACAGAAAGAAACTAAAGCAAAATTTAGAAAACCAATTATAATAAACCCAAAACTATGGTTTTGAAGCCTCTTTACGATTCGCTTATATATATTCTTAATGCTTCTTTCATTGTTTGTTCATATATGTATCTATGCATTTTGTATTTCAGTTGTTATTATGACTTACTCTTGCTAGTCTCTGCGAAACTTGCCGTGTGGTTACAATGCACACCAACTGTTCGATGAAAAGAACTTCTATAACAACACTAGGATACATGCATGCATGGTATAATTGAATGGAAGTACGGTATATTGGAAAATAGAATTCCTTTTTGAAAAAAAAAACCCTTTTGAAAGTAATCAAATCCTAATCCCTGGATACGATAAATGCTCTGGGTTATCAAAGGTAAAAGCAGCAACATTCTTGTTGAAAATGGACTCTGCGTCTGCGTGGTTGTAAGTCCGTGTCTGTAGGATTAATATGAAACATTTTGTTCCTTTAGCAATTAGTTAACGTTAATTATTACATTTCATAATCTTCATTCCCATGTTATTCAGGTGCTCTGATTGAGATTGGTAGAGGGTATTTCTGCAGCCATGTCTGCGACCAAGATTCGGACAAGTTGCTTCTCTCCCAACTTTGTAGCT